TATTTTATACCAAATTTAGAAATGATTTCTGTCTTTGTGTCAATGAATGTGATCATACAGTAATACATTTGTTATATGTTTTGTTTTCCAATCTTCACTTTGGTTGCTGCTTATTCAGTCTCCTTTGTTAATCAACATTTCTAGAGGTTTTAAATGAGGCTGTGAGAATTTTAGGTGAATAATAATGTTAAAAAAAATCCTTCTGATTTTTTTTCTCATCTGTTTTAGGTGAGGAGTCAATATCCCCTCTCCCACCCCCAAGATCGATCACCAAGACAGTCACATCTGGACTCACTCAGGTGACACTTGTTGTATCTGAATCTTTAACCTTGATATCCACTTCTCAAGCAGAAAAAAGGGTTTGAATGTATAATCTTAAGAGGAGAAAGCTGTTATACACCTTTTTTTAATGTGACAGCTTTGTCATCTTCAGGATGAAGACACGAAGACAAACTCTGCAACAGAAAACACGAAGAAAACAGGTGGGTACACAACATGCCAAATGCAACACATCCAACTTCTGTCTCGCTCTTCTTTTTTTTTTAACTCTGTAATTTGTTCTTGTTTGTGCAGAGCTGCAAACAGCTGCAGAGACAGATGCTCCAAAACAAGACTCTGAAACACTGGTCAGTTATGGGAACGCTTTCCGTTTTCATCTTCTCTCCTTCTTTGCTGTATCTTTGAATCTCAGATCAGATCAAATGAATCATTAATAAATGTCTCTAAGAAAAATTTATCTACAAAACTCTGGTCAGTTATTATGAAGACAGAAATGAAATATTCTGTGTTTACTGATTGTATTTTTCCATCCTTTTGATCTCTCTAATCTTTTGACCCTCTTCTTCTCTTTGTTTCCCCCTGCTTTCATTTTCCAACTCTCTATTTTCCTTTTCCTCATTTTCCCTTGTTGTGTATGTTCATGTGTGCGTGTGTGCGTGTGGCTTGTGGTCAGTGTCTGCAGGACACCAGTCAGTATGTGCTGAGTGAGCTGGCAGCGCTGGAGACAGAGCAAAGGCACATCGACAGCAGAGCTGCTGTGGTGGAGCGAAGACTGCGGAGCCTCATGGAAACAGGTGAGTCACACACACACACACACACACACACACACACACGAACACTGGCATTTCCAACTAGTCATTAACAGAATCTACTCAAGAAGCAGGAGTGAGAACCGAACATCCATCCATCCCATATGTGCATCACTTACTTTGAGGGTCACAGGGGGCTGGAGCCAATCCCAGGTGACATTAGGTGAGAGGTGGTGTACAGCCTGGACAGGTCGCCAGTAGGATTTACAGCAACAAACACACTCACATTCATACCTATAGTCAATTTAGAGTCGCCTATCAACACACACAGCATGTCTTTGGACTGGAGGAGGAAGCATAGGTACCTGTAAAAAACAAGAACTAAACAGTTGAACACATTAGATCTCAGTACAATATATGTCCTGTCTTTTTCTATTATACAGGAAGTGACCGTAATGAAGAGGAGAGACTGATCCAGGAGTGGTTCACACTGGTGAACAAGAAGAACGCTCTGATACGCAGGCAGGACAACCTGGAGCTACTGTGAGCCCCCTCATCAGTATACACATGTACATACATATATATAACACGTTTTCGTCTTCTGATTATTGACTGCATCCACAGACAAGAGGAGCAGGATCTGGAGCGGAGGTTTGAGCTTCTCACCAGAGAACTGCGGGTCATCATCGCTATAGAAGGTTCGTAACCAACAGTGGTGGAAGGGTCGAAACGTTAACTTCAGTGAAATCCACAATATCACTTTGTTAAATGAAAAGCATCAGAGGGGTGATGATTACCCTATTCCTCAATATGATCATAGATTGTTTTTGATCTATATAAGCTATAGGTTAGTCAATAGTGCTAAAAGCTGCATGTAAACCTCAAAAAATATATTTTTGAATTACGCATGAAGTAATAATTTTTTTACTTATTTGGGACATCTTCACAATAATTTTATGGTCAATTCAAGTGTCTTTATTATTTGCAGAGATATCATGGTGAATCTGTTGTTCTGACCATATTTTTACAGTTGTTGACTCATGACATCTTAATTTAATCAGTCACTCGCATGTGTTAGTCAGGCCTATCTCAGCACAATGGTCTGCTCATGTTACCTTTCAGTCTATTGTCAGCTGACTCTCATCTGGCTGCCTCACAGCATGTTCCAAAACGGAATCATCTGGAGATACACTCCAGAGTAATATTCAAACCAAGTGTGGTGATAATCCAGCAATGTGTTGTTGAGTTATTTTGCACAAACACACACTCGCAAGGGAGCAAAAAACAACACCCAGCTTATGCATCTATAGGCACACAGGGTAACTGAGAGGCAGGATGGAGAATATTTTACAAACTATTGGGTCGTGTAATAATCTTAATCTGCAGAGCCACTAGTCACTTTAGTAACTGCCCTTTCCTTATTGTACATTATCATTATGAACCATTGTGTGAATTGCTGGTGTTGGTCCTGCAGACTGGCAGAAGTCGCCCACTCAGCAGCAGAGGGAGCAGCTGCTCCTCCAGGAGCTGGTGTCTCTGGTCAACCAGCGGGACGAGATCATCAGAGACATCGACGCCAAGGAGAGAGGGTGAGTGTGTGTCTGTGTGTGGAAAAGACAAAACAGGAGGAGGATGGCGAAGTCCTAAAATTATAAAAAGCAAATGTGAAAAAAATGATGACCTGCAGAAAACATTAACATCACATTCGTCACATTGTAATGTTTGATGTGAAGGGCACTGGAGGAGGATGAGCGACTGGAGCGTGGTCTGGAGATGAGGAGGAGAAAATACAGCAACAAAGACAAATGTGTCCTGCAGTGAGAAGACGGGACAATAACAACCAGATTTGACTACTGAGCCCCTGAAGTAGTGTGTTCATAATTTTACATGAGCAGAATGGAAACTGATTTTTCTTCCTTTTTTAGTGCCTTGATTTTCCTGAAGAGCTGCCAGATTGAGGCTGAAAACCTTTTGTTTATTCATGTCAAAGTTGAATTATTTTCACCCTGTCTTAATGTAATGCTATTATTTGGATTCTATTCACCTGTTTTTATTTATTCAAATGATGTGCCTTTATTTTTATTGTCGTACATCTGTTGCACACGTGGTGTTTTTGTGTGTTTGTGTGTTTGTGTGTTTGTGTGTATGTTCTGCTGTGTTGGTTCAGTATTTAAACACTGGGTTTTGTGTTATTTTTTGAGGGGATGGGTTTCCCCTGTTATCATGATAACAACATGTTAAAATTAAAACAGAAATGTGCCAAATCCTTCATGATGAATAGTTTACAGCTTCTTATCTTATATGCACATCAAGAAATCTGTTCCATTTTTGCTGGTAATATCCTTTTTTCCACAATGAGAGATTTCTGCTAACACACCAATTACATTTCAGATACAAACATTGTAAGTGAGAAATCCTGAGCTGGACTCAAACCCACAACGTTGTTTGTACAACTGCAATGTGATGCCAATGTCACGTTGTGATAAAGTCTGAAAGCATTTCCACTTATTGCGAGGATAAAATTGTTTCTTTGTTTAGAAGTTGAAGGTTTTTGAAGTGTTTCTATGTTAAAGATATCCGGCATAGTTTCTTGTTTAAAGTATTTATTTTACACTATGAGTGCCTTGAATAAACCATTCTGGTTAAACTGCTTTATTCACAGAAATGAACCTGTTCCTTCGGTTCTGTGTCGTTTGACTACTGTGTGCCTGCTTTAGGAGGTGTGCTGATAGAGCGGTACTTGCTTCACATCACCACTGTGTGCCCGTCACTCTGTATATTTATGTTGATGAATGATGTTGATAAATAAAAATAAATATTGGTTGGTTGCTTACATCTGTTATCAGTGCATTTGTGTGTCTTTTTGGTTGAACACCCTTCTGTGCTTTGGACACAAATATAATACTATCTAATATAATGTCCCAGAAACAAACACAGACTTATTATATTCTGAAATATAATCCACTCCATGAATCTTCATAAAGGCTAAAAGTTAGCGTATTGGATTATTATATCTGGTGGTCCAAGGAGTAACTTGAAGATAAAAATACCAAATACGATTTTTCACTTTACATCTTGGAGGTTATTTTCGTAACCTGTATGATGAAAAAACTTTTAACATATTGCATCAGTTTTGAGAGATCTGGCCAACACCTAGCTAAACTAATTCAAGGGATCAGTTCACGAAAGCAGCATGGTTAGCTGTAAGTCAGAAAATAAAAAGTTTTTTCAAAATGTAGGTAATGTAATCTTAGGGAACGGTATCAAGCCTTTTCTCTGTGTTCTTTTTATTGAGACATGATGTGCGGCCAAAAGAGAACTGCACAACCATCCCTTTCGTCTCCATTTTTAGTACGTTAGGTGAACTTTGCTGTTGACGTCACTCATGGCTCCCTGGTGGTATAGTGGTTAGGATTCAGCCCGGGTTCGATTCGATTCGAGGTAATAAGAGTTTTTTCCCTACTGCACAATTGGCCTGTTCTCACTGATGCATTTAAATGTCAGCCTGAATTACGTTCTTTGTCAGAAACGACAAAAGTAACTTAAGGTTGTTGCAGTAAGGTTTCTTCCACATTATCACACATGGTGTACAACTTTAACCTTAATGACAATATATCATTATTAGTAGAAGTAATTATAGTAGTAGTAGTTGTAGTATTCAAAAACATAATACATAGAGCAATGTACATGTAATTGTAATTGAAAGCCATTTTCTACAAATGCATTTTAAGTGTTTTAATAGAGGAAACTGAGGTGCCCTAAATCTTTACATACAACTGTCACAGTGAAAACACTGATTACAGCCTGTGTGTGTGTGTGTGTGTGTGTGTGTGTGTGTGTGTGTGTGTGTGTGTGTGTGTGTGTGTGTGTGTGTGTGTGCGCGCGCGCGCGCGTGTGTGTGTGTGTGCATACATGCATCCTTCCAGCAGACAGTATTAGAGCTAATCTGCTTCCCTCTAATTTGAACTGACAGCCTGGACTGAGTCAGCCCACAGCATGACGAACCTGAGCTGCTGTTGTTCGCTCACCTGAGGAACCTCCTGATTTCAAAGCCTCGCTTCTGTCATGCTGGAACCAGAACATGTTCTTGTGAGGCAGGTGGACCACGCCAACACCAAGTGCTGGGTGTGTGTCCTGAGCTGCCTTCTGCTCGCCTGTGTGTACGTCAGCAGTTTGTACGTCTGGAGAAGCAGCTTACCCAGGTACACAAACCTAAACCTGTACCTACACACCAGCAGCTCTGTGGCAGTGCTGTTGGACTGGGCTGTGAAACTGCTTTGTGTGTTTATGTCTGTGTGTCTGTGTGTGTGTCCAGGGATCATCCCACTGTGATAAAGTGTCGCTGTGCCAGTGTGCTGCTGGTGGCTGCACTGTCACCTGTAGCAGTGAAGGCGTGGACACACTGGGCTCCGATCAGGGTGAGTACACCCTGTATGTAAATTCACATGTCTTGCTAATTCTCCATTTGTTTGTTATTTAGTGATCAACATTATCTTCCATAAATCCCAGAGAGCTGAGTTCTTCCTCTTTAAATAATAATCATAATGATCTGAGCTGTTTTGTGCTGCAGGGATGAACCCAACAGCATATTTATTCAAATCCTGTAGAACAGACACTTCTCCATTCATAGTTCAACTCCACTACAATTCACTTGATGATGAGCTAATAGAATATGACATCTTGCTATTTTTGTTCTGGGGATATTAGACTATTCTCAGTATTCTTTAAAATAGTTGAAACCAAATAGAGTCTTGAATTATTATGGGTAATAATTATTTATAGTCTTGTCTGTACTATTCCTTCTGCCCTGACTCATGTAGGTGCTCAGCTGTGCAGTGAGCCATACACACTAAAATAAAAGTTCAAGACACTTTTCTGGAATTGATTTGGAAACTGTGACAACAGTACAGGATTTTATTTATAAACCCTAATAGTATGCAGGCCCATATCTGCTGCCGCTCTCCTCCAGCCCACCAGGTGTCCTCTGACTTTCCTCCCAGACTCCCCACACCCACCTCACCTGTCTCTCATTCCCTTATCAGCTCACAGTACAAATACCAGCCATCTTGCCCCAGTCCTTTGTTACACTGCTGTGTCGTTCATCATTCCATCGTGAACCCTGTTTGTGTTTCTGCCGGCCTGTCTGCCTGAAAACTTCTATCTTCACCATCTCCTCTAATACTGTTTCCACCTGGCTCATCTATGCCTGCATTTGGTTTCTCTATCCCGAGGCCTCATGTGAACTGTGACACCGTCGATAAATATATATCTATTTGTTCTACTGAACTTTTTAACCGCAAAGAATTTTCATGTCAGAAATGGAACACCACACATGTAATTTAAGATAAGACTTTATTGTCATTGTCACTTTGAAAGTTACAACGAAATTAAAAGGTGCTTGACTCAAAAGACTTGATTTATAACATAGGCAAAGTATTCTAAAAGGACAGTTGCATTATACTGATGGGGGTTTCTATTATTTTGTCCACCTCATTTATGTAAACGTTAAAAGGCTAAATAACAGTTATCCCACCAAGAACTACATCCCAAGTAACATCCTCCATGTGCTTCAGTGTCCTTCTCAAGGACACTTTACACAGGGGATTGAACCCTGAGAACATCCAGGTGAAGAGCTGTGTCCTCACTCTCAGGGGCACGTTAGCCAAACATAAGAAGTTCTGTGAGGTTAAGAGCTCAGCGGCTTAACTTAACAATCACTTAAGGCTGAAAGCTACGTTATTAAAGCTGCCTTCTGCCCCATCAGGTCGACGTGTCCGTGTGGGAGTTGATGGGAGTTCGTATGGAGGGTTTTATCCCTGCGGTCACACTGCCACTGCTACTAACTGTGGTAAGTCTCCACCTTCCGGAAAATGATAATGTTTCTGTCCCTGCTGAACTTTTGATATATTAATATTAATATATTCATTAATTTGTTGTTTACTTGCTTTTTTTCTTAAACGTCTAACATGGAGGTCAAGTTGTCAGCCTACAGGGTAAAGTTGGATGAAAGTGGTCAGAAATGATGACATCACTGCAGAGCATCTGTGGATCCTGTTTCATTCATGAAACGTAAAAGGCAGATTTGACACAACAGAGATTCAGTTTCCTCCAACTTTACAGCACAGTTTTACAACTTCCATTACATTTATTTATTTTGCAGTGCATGAGTGAATATGTCTGCCAAGGTCATACAATCTTACACATGATTGTCTAGTTCTTATAGTAGAATTTATAAAGCCATTTTTACCTCCTGGATCCACATAATCTCAGCTGTACATTATTGGAAGTTTCAGTTTTCTTGCTTTTTTGGCAGTGGCTAAAAAAAACACTACCTCCGCATCAACATTTGAGGAGCTCTTCGCAGAGCAAGGCCTAATCCCTCCACAGAGTTTTTTTTCGAAATCAGTTCAATAGTTTTTGCATAATCCTGCTGATAAGTAAACAAACAAACAGACAGAGGTGAAAACATAACCTCCTTTGTGGAGGTCATATAATGCGCTGCTGTTTCTAAATCCAAATCTTAGATGTTTTAAATATATCCGCTCTTTATGTTATTAACAATGGATTTTATTCCAAACATTAGGTTTTTTATCTTGGCCCATTGGTTCATTCTGCGATGGACAACCCTGGTGGTTTCACTGTGGAACTGCATTCTGCATTGGGTGAGTTAAATAATGAATTGGGGGTTTACACGTGTACTTGCATGTTTTTGATGTGTGACTTAATTTTTCCCAGACGTTCAGTCATGGAGGTCATGTGCAGGAGACGCAGTGTGGCTCAGGAACCAGGTGGTGGCACCAGTGACGGAGGAGCTGGTGTTCCGAGGGGCCATGTTGCCCATGCTGGTGCCCTGCGCAGGACCCACTGGGGCCATCTTTATGGCACCACTGTTCTTCGGTGTTGGTATGGCAACCAAGATTTCATACTGTAAAGAGCTTAAACTTACTATTTTTGACTCTTTTAAAGAAAACATTATACTGAATCTTTTAATTCATGTTGTATCTTAAGATCTGTCAGCGAGTGCAACAATGAGATTCTTTAACCAACAATCCAACATCATAGCTATTTTCTTGTCTTATTCTAGCTCATTTCCACCATATCATAGAGCAACGGCGCCTCCACAAAGATAGTATGAGTGTCATCCTCCTGGTGGCAGGTCAGTCGACTCACAACCCTCTCCTCAAGTAAACCAGACTGAAATTAAGTTTTTCTCGATTGCTTAAACACTCAAGTCAACTCTGATACCAACAAAATCTATATATCACACACTGACTTAAGCAGAAGCACACTGTCAAAAATGACACATTTACTTTTTCAGAATGCTCAAACACAAGCAACTTTATGAAAACATGTAATTTCCATGGTTTTGCAACTGCAAGGATCAACTTTCTCTCCTCTGATGTCACACATGCACCACAGGCATCTTTATAGCACTTAGATTATGCAACAGTTCATGTACAGTTTATGTAACACAACCTGTATCCAACCTATAGATTTTAACATGGACTCACTAAAGATACAAGTAGCATCAATCATATTGAACATCATAAATGTGTCCAACTGTTCTGTTGCAGGAATGCAGTTCTTGTACACCACTGTGTTCGGTGCCTTCTCTGCCTTTATATTCATGAGAACTGGTGAGACATGTAATGAGCAGCACATTTACCAGTACTCAGAGAGAACACTCCTCATTTCATCTCCTGTCTCTTTCTGCAGGTCATGTAGTGGGCCCAGTTGTGTGCCATTCTTTCTGTAACAGTCAGGGCCTGCCTGACATCAGCTCTGCCCTCCAACACCCTCAGCGCTCAGCTCTGCTCTTCTCTTATCTCATGGGAGTCCTGCTGTTTGTGGTGCTGCTCTTCCCACTGACAGACCCCTTCTTCTACGGCACCATTCCCGTCTGCCGCCTGGCTCCTGCCCCTGCGTCTGTGTGTTAGATTTAATACACTTTGTTATTTTATCCTGCATTTCATTTTGTATAAGATTTTCAAATAAAAGAAATATTTGTATAAAGAGTTTCGAATTAGGATGTGTGTGTGTGTGTGTGTGTGTGTGTGTGTGTGTAACGATTCTAGCAGTCAGCAGACATTTCCTGCATAGTCGAAAATATATCCTACTGTATTGAAACTAAACACCAGAACAACTTTGCCTGGCTGAGAGAAAGAAAGAAGTGTGTGTGTGTGTGTGTGTGTGTGTGTGTGTGTGTGTGTGTGTGTGTGAGACAAAAACAGATGAACTGTGAAAGCGAATGATTGAAAATGGACGGCAACAGCAGACAAAGACACATATGCAGACAGAGAAAAAGAGAGAGAGAGAAAGAGACAGATGGACAGAAACACAGACACTGTTGCCAACAATCACAAAGACTAAAGAGGAGAGAAAGAGAGACAGCAAATGTCCAGTTAAGTCCCATTATGAGGACAAATAAGGCCATGAAAGTCAGAAAATGGTCACAGCCAGAGGCTACAAGAGCGCTGCCAACATACGAGAGGAGAAGAAGTGCAGGCGAGGAAGGGGGGAAAATGAGCGTGTCTCCTCAGAAATCCAGAATGAGAGGAGAGGAAAGGAGAGGAGTGGAGGGGAGAGAGGTCATCCAGGGTCAATGGAAATGACGAGGGTTCGGAGTGAGGGGTGAGAGGTTGTGTCAGTTAAGATTTATGGAACAGACTGACAAGCTATTATAAAAACTTTGTTTACAACTTAAGACTTGAAAGACAAAGTTAATTCACTTACAAACTTCTGCACATGCTCACATCACTGGACTGCAGCATGTCTGTCACTTCATTTCAGTGCTTTTGATATGTTCATGTCTGGTCTTTTGTATTTGTATACTGAAAACCTGGCTTTTGTCCTAAGAAAAATACATCTTCACTTTAAATGGCTGGCATGACCTATCAATTCAGTTCAACATTTGGGAAATACATTTAAATTGTTTGTTTTCTTGCTGTGAGTCAGATGAGTCGTGAAGATTGACGGCACTCTCATGACTGTGAAATACGTAGCTTAGCTTAGCATAAAGACAAGGAAACAAACAGGGGAAACAGCCTGACTGTTCAAATATAACAAAATATCTCTAAACATTATATTTATACTTATTTCATAAATTTTGGGGGACTTGGTCATAACAGCAGAGACTCAGAGAAGCTTCTACTGTGTTATGAAATATGTTGTAATTTAACATATTCATTAGAGGTTTTCCAGTAAATTCTTTATGACAAGAAATCCATAGAGCATATTTTTCAAAATGTTAAACTGTTGTTGAGTATCTGTTTACCTCCTGACACACAGCTACTTCCTGTATTTGTACTGGAAAAATATTGATTATAAAATGATTGATAACATTTGATGGGATAAAAAATTGTTCCCATAAAAATGCTCTGATAAGGTCAACAAGCCAAACACTCACCTTTCGGACATCTTATTTCACGTGACGAGAACAGATAAGATGGCTTGATGGCAGAATTGTCTCTTTAAACTGGGCCTGGCCTTAACTTGTCTAGACTTTTTGGTTGTGTGCTGAGGCCAACTTTACAAAAGAACCTTGACAGAGGTTAGTTGAAGCAAATAATCTGATATGTTTATAATGCCATTCAATGTTTTCTGATCAGTTAATTCAATTTGAAGTCTTCAGTTTCACAGTGAATGAACACTTTCGTGTGTATCTGTGCAGTGAGTGTAACATAACCCCACATTAGTCTTAATACTAACAACTGGTGACAATCTTGGATTTATGATCTGTCCACTGCTGGGAGAAGGTTCGGTTTAAGGGGATTATGTAGGATTGTTTTTTTTCCCCAAATCCTTATTTATCAGGAATATGGACTCATCATGCTCACTCTCTGCTTTGCTGTCATATATTTCAACTCAACAAGTCTTACTTGGGTTCTTTCCAATACAACAAAGGATCAGATTTTGGAGACGTTGCAGTTTTGCAAGAAGTCTCACCTTTTTACCTCCCTAGTGTTTTCTCTGAGATATAATCCAATAACCTCCGATTTGGATGAGGACAGTAAAACAACGGAGCGAAAGGAAAGAAACGTTTTTAATTGACTTCTCTGCATATTATTAATTTACCTTCTTCTGCTTGTGTTGAGTCGAACACTTCACAGTTTCTCTACTTATTTTTCCTAGAACTGTATTTTGAGCAGCTATTAAGACCGTGGTCACAAATTGTGAGGTTTATATAGAAAAGGACCAGATAGAAAAGCAGGAAACGATGCAGAGAGAAGCCAGGCGTGTGGTGGGTTATCTCAAACATCCGACATGTGAGACGCCTGTCTGTCTCTGTCGAGGCTTTAATTATGTCCCGTCCCTCTGCTGGGAAGTCGTCGTCCTTTCTTCTCACTGTTAATGCATTTAACAGTACACACACACACACACAAACACACTCCTTCCCCCTCTTCAGAAAAGTGTATCATGAAAGACATTACAAAGCAGTGTAAGGTTTCTCTGTGCGTCTCCGTGTGTATTTGCATGGCTGTGTCTATGGAAAAGCTGAGCCTATCATCTGGTAAATGAATAATATGTGAGGACTTGTCCTCTCCTCTCCCAGTGCTCTCTCTCTCTCTCTCTCTCTTTCTGCCTCTCAGCACTTTATTAAAACCCTTAACTATCAGAGATTCTGATTCTTTGAGTCGATCCAGCTCATCATCTATTATTGTCACTGGAGCCTCAGTCATGCTGCTTTTTATTTTCTCTCCAGTGTTTCGGGCAGCTACAGACCTCCGTCATTTGCAGTTTCCATCTGCAGCCATGTTTGTTTTAAACTTGTCATTTGACTCCTTACTGGAAATTCAGTAGCAGCTGTTCACACAGTGGTGGGTTTTTTTCTTCGCTGTTCCATTCTTAACAGATTAAAGAATGCAAAGCAAGTATTCTTGAAAATTAAAATCTCATACATCTTGTTTTATAAGTACATGGATGCAAAACTAATCACATTTTCCAAATTCTATGCACCAAAGGCTTCCATTCCACAAGCTGAAGATCACGAGTTCTTCCAATGGAGCTGGTCAGTAGACAGTGGTAGGAGGCTGTGTTTGCACTGGGCAGATCCCAAGTCTGAGCATGAGAGAGGAATGAGCATATTACTTGGTCAGATTAAAGCCAAGAAGTAGACATAGCTACAATGGAGAGATACCACAATGCTTATATATGCCCCTAAAAGTGTCTAAAATATTTTTCGTTGATTGCTTCAGTAACTATAGAATTTAAATGGCAGGGGTTTGTTCTCCCTGGATGAACGATCAGAGGTTACAGATTTGTTTACTGCCTGGGTGTGGATGGAGGGCATTCGTGTAGGCTGTGAAAGATGAAACATGTGGACCTTGTCGAGGACGTGGATAAAAGTATCGTCTTTTTCCTGCACTCCACAGAAATCAGCAGGAATGCCTACACTCCATTATTTAACCACAAGGCCGCAGCTAATTGCTTCAGTGTGTGTGTGTGTGTGTGTGTGTGTGTG